CTTACTATGTATAACCTGAACTAATATTTACTCTAACTGAACTAACACTTACCCTAACTGAACTAACCCTTACCCTATCCAATTATGCTGCATTTATATTATGCTTATATTAAGAAGGTCGTATACTGATGAAAAACAAATTGAGCTGAAATCACAAACAAATCAGCAACCTTTCATTATTGGATTAGATAATATGACAGCTTCAATTAATGTTGAACAAACTTTTTCAAATTTGTCCTTTCGGTTACCAGATATCTCTTTTAGTGATATTCATGCTAAAGTTAATTACCATCAAGCCTATGTTACAATTAACAGATTATCAAAAAAAGCTATTTAAATTAGACTTGATGCTGGTCCTAATATACTACAAGAGCTTGAAAATTGTATGAATAGTTTTATCAGTAAGTACATACCAAAAGAAAAAGTGGCCTGTAAAAGGAATAAAAGTCAGCAGGAAGACGAAGATGAAATATCAAATTCAAGTTCCGTGACAAAGAAAATTTTGTTGCAATTGAAAATCCAATCATGCATTCAAGAAAAGGCGCTCTAAAAAAAAAATGTTTCAAAAGTTCTAGTGAATTAGGAAATAAAAGCAAGTCTAATATTAAACAACATTCGGAAGTACAGAAAACTAGAAAGCCAACTTAGTATCAACAATACCAAAATATAGGACATAACAAAGCTGGTTGCGAAGCATGGCATAAGTGACAGGATATTGCTTACACATATTGAAAACTTATTCATATAGATGTGTATATATTACCGCTACTGTTCTTATATAGTCACGATTATTTAGTGAGTTTATACAAACTTTTAATATATTATCTGCAATTATCATATACACAAATCATATCTTTATTGTATATAGTTTGAATACATAGTAGCTTATAGCAAATAAAGTTGTTAAATATTTTGTGAATATCTTAGATTAAGTTCTACAAAATGCAATCTTACCACTATAATAAGTAACCTATTGTATTTAGTTAAAGTCATTATACTATTCAAATTAATAATAGTAAGAATAAGTTGATTTGCATTTCTGCCAGAAACTAATAGTATATCATGTTACATTATATAAAATGTATGAATTTATTGTTTGACTAGATAATATATTGAGCAAGATAGATTGTTATGTTTTTCACAAGCACCTAAAGTAATAGTTTGATTATATAGTTTGGTTCTTTAGTATGGTTAGAATAAGGGTTAGTTCGGGTTAGGGTAAGATTAGTTTGGTTAGGGTAAGGGTTAGTTCAGTTAGGGTAAGTGTTAGTTCAGTTAGAGTAAATATTAGTTCAGGTTATACATAGTAAG